TAGATACCTGTAGTCTGCCAATTTGTCTGCCTGTCATAGGCACTCATGTAGCTCAGATATCTCCAGTCAGAGTAAATTGGTTTATGTATTTTTTATTCAGAAGAATATTTTGAAGAAAAATATACTATCTTCTCTGATTTTTTCATATGAACAGTCCGTTATCTGAGATGGAGCAGAAGGAAAGGGTGTGAAGGAAATGTACACAATTGCCATTTCCACTCTCCTGTGGGCTCAGGGTCAATGTTGGGTGGGCCCAGAGGCCCTGCTCAGCCTTGCTGGTGCCTTGACAGAGAAGCCAGTAGTGGCTATGCAAACTCAGAGTTCAGAGGTGTTTGGAAAAGCGTAGGTATTCCCATGCATCACGAAGTACTCATTGTGAACAGTGTTCCCATTTCTTCTCATTCTAAGAATTTTTGCAAGTCTAGGAAATAAGCTGTATTTCATCATAGTTTATATCTGATTTTTTTTTCTTCCTAAAGATTAGGAGATGATGCATTTCTGCAATAAAATTAATCTCTGTATATATATTCTATTGCATGTGTTATTTTTTCTTCTCAGAGGAGTTAACATTTAGTGCCAAAAAGTACCATAAACTGTAAAAATTAGAGGGCACTAAAAGCATAGTAATAAAAAGGTTGTAATTCAGTTTAAAAATAACAGTAGGTTTTCTAGTTGAGCTGTTTATTTCCATTCATATTAAAATTTTATGGGTGGATAAAAATGTCAGTTATTTCTGTGCATCTGACCATCAGATTGCAAACTTGTCCATTAGTTAGAATAATGAAGTTCAAAGCAAACACTTATGTCTGAATGAACAAACCATATAAAATTTCAAAATACTTTAAATTAATGACATAGAAAACAATATATTTCAAACAAGTCTATACAAATTTAATATATTTCAATGTAAGTAGGTTAAGAATGATCAACTATTAGATTACAAATTGTTATCTTAAATAAGAAATCTCCACTGGCATAATTTATAATGAGCCTTCCACAGAAGCACACTTGATTCAGAGTAATTCAATCTCTTGAATAACAAACATAACAAATATCTGAAAAGTGATATAAAATCATTGATATCAATATTTGCCAACGACAAATAAAACCTAATAAAGTAGCAATAAGTAATGGTGCTAGGTCAGTTCTACAGGTCAGCTTGGGTGAGAAGGCATACTTATTGTAACAATACAGATTATGGTTGCTACAGAAGTAGAGACCTTTAAGACTAAATACTCAAGTTTCTATATTCAGTAGACGTCTGCTAAGTTCAGCCATCTTTTGATGCACAGGGTCTCCTGCAAAATTTTATTTTGGTTTTAAGTGTTGCAGTTTTAGCTGTCCTCAGTTTTTGTTTGAGTCTGGGAGTTTAAAAGCCTTGAAAAATTTGAAATATGTAAGACTGGTTTTCACATCAAAATACAAAAGGGGGAGTTTCACATGGTTTCAACATGAAGTCATAAATCAGAACTGTTTTTCCTAAGCCTGATACCAAGACAGCTCTAAGAACCTGAAACCTATGATGTGATTCATTCCATATCCACTTCTTTTTGAAACTAGCTAAGTTTTCAGTAATCTTCCATTCATTATATGCTTTCTGTAAGTTTACTATTTAGCCTCTGGCCTTACTCTTGCTAAAATACCCAGTTGTTGCAGAACTGCAGTTTGTGATGACCCATCCCTCCAAGACGTCTTTCTGTTGAATGATGACAGTGTTGCTGAGTCTTTATTCTTTGCTTCATGACATATTTAATGATAGTTACTACCTGAGATGCAAATTATTTTATGGGACTAACAAAAGTGATCACCAGCTCAAACTAAATAATTCCTCTGTGACTTTAGGCAAGACACTTCAGTTCTCTATAACTAACGTCCTTATCTGCAAAATGTAAATGGCACCACTTCATTTATTGCCTAAAGAGAAAGCAACAATAAAGCTTTTTTCTTCTAGCACTATGATAATGCATGTCTGACAGGTATTACTTTCTCTTCTAAACTGCTTAGAAATGCAGTTCATTCTTTTTCTCATGGTTTATAACTTAAAAAAAAAAACTTTTTTTTTTTTTTTTAACAACATCACTTACTGTGGCATTAGACTTCCTCTAACCCACAGCTCGTCTCCACCTTATCTTGCAGACTCACAGGAAAGTTCCTCTTCTCCCAAGCATACTTCATCTCATATACGGGTAACTACTTCCTGCTAAGCCATTAATAAACCATGTGTTATCGTATTTCCACCCATTTACAAATCACAAAACACCAAATACTTATAGAACATAGCAATTAATTTAACTCACAATTTCTTCTGTGAAGGAATGTAATTGTTCAAGATGGAACACACATCTATGTGGCATTTCTAAACCTCATCGTGTCTTCACATTGTGCTTTCAATGTAGTATAGAGACATCTAAGGCTTTTGAAGCATACTTATAAAATAAGCATGGCTTGGTCCTTACGTTTTTCTCTAAAAGAAAATCTACAGAGTTATAATAATAGAGGGATAATATTTTTATAATTTTTTATTCTTACCAGTTGTCAAATTTAAATATAACTTCAGAATACTATGCTTTACAGCAAGATTTTTTCACTGTATAAGCTGGAAAGATATGTATTTGCCTATCAAAAGTTCTGGTTCTCAAGGCCTCATCTACACTTTCCTTCTGCTTCCTGCACTTTGGTTTCCAGAGGAAATAAAAACAGGCCCACACAGACTCCAAAATTGCCTCTCTGGACTGATTCCTGATCAGGATAATTAGGAGCTTTAGACTCACCAAAGCACACAGACCACCCTGAGAAAAATATATGGTTGTCTGAATATGGATTTTGAACTTGCGAGTGCTTTCAGATAAAAAGGAATTCCCTGAGAGACTCTCATTAACTGGCACACTTAAATAATAGTAACATTTAAAGTTCAACTCTCTTTGTTTTTCTTTATAAATTGGGCTTCATTTTGGGGATTAGGTTTACATGAAACCCAGGAAAAGACAAAGCTGCCATTGTATTGCTCTGTTATTGCCATATAATGCCATCCATCATAGACAAAAAAGATGATGGTATGATGTTTCTCTGTTTGGGTGCAATGATATTCAATATGCTTCTTGGAGAGCTGTGTGGTCAAAGTCAAAGAAACCAGAGCTTTTCTTATGACCTTTCTCATGTCCTTTGTAGAATTGTGATAGAGTGGGAAAATGACTTCTAGGTCTGTAAGCTTTTCTTAAAAAAGATAAAGGGATGTGGGATTTCTGGTATCAGGTTGCCAGTATCTTGAAGAACAAGAAATCATTTAGAAGTTGACACCGTTTGTCTTTTATTTAAATTCAGATGCGCTGTAAGTAAATTTTGACTGCCCTGAAATCAGTGAAATGGATAAGTTTTATGAAAAGTTTCAGTGATGACATTACTGTTATCTAAGAGATGACTTTATTTCAACTATTTTCTCACCCCCTATCATGAGCATGAAGGCGTTGCTGCCCCAAAAAGGGGTCACCTGGGAGAAGGCTGGCAGTTACAGCAGCTTTTGCATCCTGCTCTGGGCTGCCTTTTTTTCCCCTGGGTACTTTATAAATTCATCACAATTTGCAGGCACAAAATGGCCTGCAGGTTATAAGATGGCTACAGTCATTACATTTCACCTGCTTTGGATGAAATAAAGCATAATACAGGATTCAGTCAAAAGGCAGGCAAACGGCTTCATTTCTTGTGCTTTCCTTTACAAAAGTTAAAGAATATTGATGCCCTGAGCATACTGAAGAGCCTGGGACGTACAGACTGAAAGATTTCTTTGAGGCTTTTATTACTGGGCTTGTTCTGCCTTAATCTGATCCATCTCTTACTCATGACTGGTCTGGATCACAGAACCAGAAAAACGTCTCTGCCTTTATGTTGAGTTGAGAGAATCTTTATTATGTAACAGAGTTCTCTTCCCTCCCCTATCCCCTCAATATTTGAGCCAATAGGTGGAGAAAATACCAGCGTGTTTGCTATTTCATAGCTGGCTTGCATATTAGAATCTCTCCTTTCAGCATGGTCTTTATATGTGTGTTAAATGATTGAAACCTCTAACAGAAAAATAGTGTGGTATTTTACATGTATGTTTCAGGGCATGATACATAGATCCCTCACTATTTTTTTACATTAGCTAATGGAGTTGCAAGGATGGGCAATAAACCCTATCAAAAAGAGGATCCTCTCCCATGTACTGAGACACAATGAGAAAGAAGTATCAGAAGACATTATGAGAAAAATGTAAGAGAGTTGCATACACTTGCAAAACAGTAGTGTGACAGTTAACCAGCACTAAGGCTGCTCGCCCTAGTAATGATGTCATCTAAATATGTAGTAATTAGGCATGATAGCCTTGAGATGCACTTCTTTCACAACATCAGTCTTATGATGAGCATTTACCTCAAAGAGATACTTGCTTTCATTAAAAATGCTTACTCGAGTATGGTTTTAATAATTTTTTTTTAGGAAAAATGTAAACAGGAGTTAAATCCCCTAGCCTTTATGTGCTTCAGATGTTCCTTTCTGTGTCAGTCTTGCATAAGCTAAAAGTCTAGAAAGAAATTTGAAATTGTTTTTTAACAAAGTATAGAGTTTTTCCAAGTATTAATATTTATTAAAAGCAATTTAGGACCTAACTGGAACACCAAATCTATTTAACAATGCAGTGCTGAGCTTTATATCCTCTTCTCTGGATTAAGTTAAGGCTTCCTACCAAGTGATGCAGGAGCTAATTTTATCAAACTCTGGAGCACAGACAAGCAGTATTTAATTTATATTTCTTACTATTATTTTAAAGATCATTGTTAAAACATATAATCTTTATGCTGCTGAATGATATTGGATATGTCTACCTTGGGAGTAGACACAGATGCTTAAAATCTCTGTTCTGTTCCTATCCCTTCCCTCCCCCCTTTCTCTCACAGTGCACCCATATTATTGCATTCATTTACCAGTGTTGATATTTTACTGGTTTTAATGGTTAACCACATCGGCAGTTGTTTTTAGACTCTGCAGCAGCAGAATATGAAGGAGAGGAACCGCACAAACCCTCCCATGTCTCCAGTATAGATTTTTCCCATAACTTCACAGTAGCGTTAACCTCCAGTCTGTTCATCATGAAGAAAACACTTCTTAAAGCACAGACACCAATTTCACTGCTTCTGGAGTTCACTAATGCTCAGATGATGGGAATTCATTGCTGTGCAAACCCAATAACATCGGTAAGTTTGTGATACAAGTAAATGCAAAATGCCATTAAACCATTTATACTGATTTACTGGATAGATAGTACATACAAAATTGCTGTGAGCAGATGGAACGTTGGCTGTGTAAGACTAGTTTTTCAACCCTGTTACAGTGTAGTTGAGACCTAATACCTGAAGTGGTTCACACCAAGTCTTCTGAGCAATGTGGACAACACAGACCTTATATGAGCAAGCAGAAATGGCTTGATGAGGTTTTTATCACTAGGAGAAAATAGAAAGGAACAGACTGTATCCATTATATTATGAATAAACAATTTATATATGTATTGTGGGTTTTACTGGTACTCTGACTAGTTTTTTCACTGTACGTTTTCTCTTTCTGTGGATGCTGCGGATATATCTTAATGTACTTTTCATCTCTCCTTTGCTGATGTATCCACTGCTTTGCTCAGAATATTTCCTCACTGTCCTAAGTACACTGCTCCCTTTTTCTTTAGCAGGATATAGAGGGAGAAAGCCCATAGTGAATAAAGTTTAATAACTATTGATATGCTACTAAATAAAAATAATTCAGTATCTATACAGCACCACTCTTGTATCATAGGCAGACATAAAAAAGTAGTAAAAATTTAATTAAACTGCATGTATTACTGTTATCCTTCAAACTCAAATGGAGCAGGGAAAGAGCTGCTAAACCGCATATTAGGAAATGTACAGACATGTAACATTTAATGTAAGAAAATAAGATCAAGACTAATTTTAGGTTGAACTAAATCAAAGATTATAACATGAAGTTGCCTGAATTAGGTTCTTCCTGAATAAAGGTATGTCTTACTAGAGAAGAAACATGAAAAATGAATGACTTTGCACTGTTGATATGCTGAGCTATTACATATGGGAGGCACCTGTAGCTCTTCTAGGAATGCTCTGGCTAGAGGTATAGGAATATGGAAGATGGTTCAACTGGGTTTTTGCTTCCTCAGTCTATGCCGGTGCTGGGCTTAGTTTAAGCTCAGCAGAAATGTAAACCCAGAGCATATCAGAGCACAGTATTTCTGATCACTCAGAACACTGAGTCTATAAAATATTCATAAAACCTCTGCAATTTGAATTGGTCTTTCAAGTAATAAGAAAAATACATCAAAGTAATACAATAAATGAGGAGATCCCTCTATTATATGTGATATAAAGCATAAGGATTTCTTTTAAATATTTGATTATTGAAAAGTAAATGAGGCTTCTTCTGATATAACAATTGTGGGATTTCATACAGTATGAAACAGTAACAAGAAAGATACTCTGTTATTGTTAATGCCTCTATTTCTTACCATCTAAACTAATAAGCATCTTTGATCTTCTCTGAGTTCCTCATGCCTTATTGTTTCCATCTTTGTCAAAAGCCCACTTCTTCACTTTCCTTGTGAAATAACCCACATAATGCAAAATGGAACACAGTGAGTATTCCACCAGCAAGGACGAAAGGGCATCATTTGACAAAAGCAGACATATCATTGAGACAGCTACAAAATTAGATAATTTTAGCATAGGGCAGACTTTTTTCTTTCCTGCCAGTCAGGATTTAAACAAAGGAATCATCACACAACTGGTAGATAATTTTGCTTCTCCAAGGGAAAACAACACTGAGTGAAAAGAGTCAAGGTCTACTTTTTCTCAGATAATTTTGTTCTTTGAACATTTGCAACTGCCTGTTTCATGAAAAGGCTAAAAAATTTGAAGAACTGTAACAGTTATTGTTCCAGGGACAGGAGAAATCTGTATGTCATCATTTTATGAGTTCATTTTTTATTTCAGTTTTCAGACTTCTGTATCACTAATTTTTGATTTTGGTCCCCAGACAGCATATACCAGTGTAGGAAGACACCTGACACCTTCCATATCACTGTTGTACAAGTTTGAATAAATTTCTTTGAAGCACTGATGTTGGATATTAAAATACAAGGCTCTAATCCTATAATGTCTCCTGAGTTTGAAAACCCTTCTTAATCAAGTCTAACTATATGGAATTTTTACAGGATTTATTATTAGACATATTTCCATAAGGAACAAGAGAGAATTATTTTAAAGAGATTAAATTACAAATGCTTATATATTTAGCACAGCGTGGCTATATTTAAATGATTCTGTTACAAATAAAAACTATGATTTTAAAACACAAATCCTTAGTCACAAAAAGGTATCATTGGTATGGCAGATTCTGGTAAAGAGAAGATAATACACATGAATATACAGGATCTGATCTTACCACAATTTTGTCCAGCATAATTTCCGTTGACCTTAGAGGATTTATATCAGTGTGAATGACATGAGAACCAAAACAATAAAAATGGTTGGGTCTATGCTTAAACACATTAACCTGAAGGATGCAGTGTTGAAGGAAGTAATTTAAAGTCTTTTCTTTCTCTAAATAGGCTGAATTTTCAAACTGGAAGCAAAGTTAGAGTGAAGCTGCCTTCTGCATCACGTTGACCTGTTGATTCAAGGCGTCCAGGTGCTCCTTACCTCATGGCAGTAACTGCAATTTGTCTGTTTTGCAGGACATCAAAGTGCATAACTCTTGCCAAGGACAGATTTCAAACTGAGTCCAGCTGCTGTCTGTGCCTTTGCCAGCAAGACAGCATTGGGTCCCCTGCACCTTTATTTGTCTGAAAGTGGGAAAACAAAGTTTGTCTTAGGAAACTATATACCAGATGTAGGGTTTCATTTCTAGTGGAATCAGAAAATGGAAAGAACTGAAGAGGCCATGGATTGCTTACCCAGTTGCTCTGAAAAATATCTGAATAGAGAGAGGCTAATTAAATTCTGATATTCCTTTTTGAAACTAACCCTCCTTGAACAACAAAAGAAGAAAACAAACCAAACAAGTACCAGTTTTATTCAAAGAAACAGTGTGAGATCATCAAGAAGCTGACTGATCCCTAGAGGAAGGGGAACATACTCATTTTCTCCTCTCTCCATACAGTCCTGGGAATATCTTGATCAATATCAGGGTTGTATGCAATATGTTAAAGAGATTACATTTCGTAAGATGTATTTTAAATTATACATTTCCACACGCTCTATTAATATGAAATGCAATTTTATCTGATTTTAATACTTTAATGTTAGCTTCCATTATTTGCACAGTAAGTAAATGAAGAGACACACATGAAACCTGGATTTAATTAGATAGGACATGCTGTCATTTGCTGACTGGCATAAGAAGAATACATTAAGTACAAGCATTGTATAATAATTTTCTGTCCTGAAATGATGTACAGCTATACAACAAACTTACATTTAATGCTGACTGCCAAAACCCAGCCATTTGAGTTTTCTTATATATAGAAAATTAAAGTTTTATAGAAGGTAGATGTGGCATTGACAATATTTTCTTTTTTTTTTTTTTCTGGATGAGATTATTCACTACATTCATTCATCTTTCAAAAACATGTTATTTCTTTCAACACTATCCTTTTGGCCTTTCATTGATTCTACTTGTAACAACCAAAAGAAAATCCTGCACGATTCTCCCAAAACTGAAGCTTGGTGTTATTACTATCAGTGGAAGTTTTTTCTACCCCAAATGTGTTATTATTATGCCACATACAAGAGCATTATACATAAGAACCAAAAAGAGAAGGAGTTTGCAGAAAGGAAGTTAACAAGACTGGTCCTTGACCCAGGGAAATGTCTGCCTCCAGATATTTTGAAAACCTGCTACAGAATTAAATTGCTTTTTCACTTGTTAGCTCCCATGGAGCAAGGTCTAAATGCCTATGTGATTCATCAATATCCCTGATAATTCTCCGAGACGTCTAGTTATAGCCTTACTAATGTTGTTTGTATTGCTTGTTGCTGTCTGAGGAGGCGGATTTGCAAGAGCAGCCCTGTGGGAGCAGCTCCCTTCCAGAGGCGCAGCAGGAGGGCACGTACCGGGATTGCCCAGGCTCAGCTGAGTAGTCACTCAGCCTTGTTCCTCCATGCAAAATCACAGCACCGGGATGGCTCTTCACTCCAGCAGTAACACTGCTTTCAAAGCCCATTCCTTATGGCCAAATAAGAGACATGGCTTAAGCCTTACTCTTTGCTGCTGTGTTATAGCTCCTGGTGACCAACAAAAGCGAGGACATTAATCAGCTATGGTTTCTTCATTGTTCTTGGGCTGCTTTTCCTCTCTGAGGTACTTTTCTAGCCCTTTCATTACAGTGACATCCAAGGACCTCATTGCCTTTAATCTCACAGCAGCTTCAAAGCCATATCCAGAGCTGCAGCTGCAGCAGGTCACCTCAAGCACCACCACGGCACATACGGATCTTCAAAGAGGGTTAATGCAGATGCTGGCAGCTCAGAGCTCAGCACAAGCTCACTCGGTCACCTTTCTGGGTGAGCTTTGCACCTTGTTCTGTGTCCGTAGTGCTGTGCTTGGACTGTGGTAGGTACCCAGTACTGTTCTGGTACACATGGCCCATCAGCTCACCATAGCCACTTTCCTGATGAGTTTGTGCAGGTGGACGTGCCTATGGTAACCTAAACCCTGCACCCACACTGTGTTAGCTGTGATGGTGCTAAACGACATTTGGAAGATGAGACAATTGTCCTAAGGCCTGACATTTCACCAGGACAAGAAAGAGGATGGTGACCAGTGCTGTGGTCCACGTATTTCACTCTGTGTTTTCCTTTTTCTTTTTGTTGGTTGTTAATTCCTGTTAATCAAAAAGCTTTCTACACCATGGTTTGTTACACACAATTCATATAGAAAATTGTTGGTAAATATTAAAATATTTTTTATTTTACAGAAGAGTCAAAATAAAACCAGATCCATTCAATTTCTCTCCATCTCAAGAGGTCTGTTTTCCAGTAGTTCCTTCTATTTCCACATAGCTTTTTGATTTTCCCTCATGACAGACTCTTACATTCAGGAAATATTCGTATCTTTATTCATAGCTGTCTACATAAATTTTTGGCTTGTAATTTATACCATCTTTGATAATGCCCCTTTCATCTGAAAATACTGCACTGAATTTGTCTTGGTTTTATGTTAAAGGTTACACTGACAAAGGTTGATAAAACACATGGAGCATTATTTGTATTTATTTATAAAGCTGCAGTATCCAGGACGACATCATCATTTCCATAAAGTATTATCCTGCACAGATCATTTTGAAAGTGAATGTCATATCTCATTTTACTTTGACATGTAAATACATTTCAACCTATCTATCTAAGCCTTTCTAGCACATCTATCACTACAGAAGCGTGCTGGTGTCAGTGAATGAAAAGCTACAGTAGCAGTTAACAAGCGGTGTGCTAATTAATGGCTCAAGCAGAAAGTTGTAAGAGTGATTTTTCCAGACACTTCACTCAAAAATGATTGAGAAGGAAAAGCCTTTTTGAAATTTTTATATAATGTCACACTAAATGAACCATAAAGAAACAATGTAGAAAGTATGTAGCTTGGAATTTATGAGAACATTTTACAAGTATTAAAGACCACATTTAAAGGTCTGGATTTTAAATGGAGCTGAGGGACCTTTGAAAACAGCTTTACCAGCAAGGTCATCTTTAAAAAAGGGAAGGAAGAGAACTGGCTCCCAAACATCACAGTCAGGAGTATAACAATGCACTGAATTGCTAGACAAGAGGGGAAGAAAAGAAGCTAAAATGTTAAGAAATCATTATACAGATCATATTTATTCAAATCCAAGAGAAATGTTGACTGTCAGTCACCAGCAAAATGAGAAATAGCATTAGAGCTGGCTTTTAAAAACAGGTCTTTTGAACCAGTCATCCTCACTGGCTACTTAAAATTGCTGCCACGCACAGCTTAGCTGGTGTCATGTTACTGCATGTCAGAAGATGCAAATCTTGTCCCATGAGAGAATAGTTCTCAAAACGTTATTTTTTTCTGATGACATATCAAAAGAAATTCCTCATACATATTGAAACCATTTTACTTTCTTTCAAGCAGTTTCAGTCATATGGTATACAGTATAGTATAGAAAGCAGCTTCAAAATAAAAAAAATCTAGAAGAAAAAGAATCTAAAAAATGTTTACTTTTGGGAACATCCATTCCTCTATCATTTCATCAATAAATTCAATTTCTGTGAAATGATTATTACTTTTGCAAAGTAAATTGACTTTGATAAGACAACATATTGACTTGGATTTGGATTCTCTGACAACATTTCTCTCAAAGTTTTTTCTCAAACTGACCTGATAGTAGAAACATTACCTTTATTTTGTGAAAATAAAGGTCCTTGATGCTTTAAGTGAAACAGTTAGTTTCCCACCCCCTCCAAAAAGATAAATCCCAAATAATTTTTTGAAAGGGAGTACTGAAAAATCCAACTATTAATATTTTTTGGCAGGAAATATAAGGCCAAGCTCTCCTAGGGTTTGAAAAATGGAAAGCAAAAGTATAGTGGAAGAAAAAAAAATTGTTAATTGTATTCCTGAGTATTTTTTTCAGTAGCCCTGGCCTCCTCCCAGCCATGCAGATTGTTACACTTAGTGTGTGGCAATAATTTAAGCAATGTCAAACACACACTAGCCCTTCCCTGCCCCACAGATATTAGACTGTGGTCTGTAAGGAAAGCCAGGATTATTTGAGGAGCAACATGTCACAGTTACACATTTGCAGGTGATTGGAGGGGTGGTGGGATAGCACACACACCCTTTGCATTAAATAATCTAGTAATCTGCATCTGTAATAGTGGTCATACATGTGTAGGGTCCCACTAAATACGCAGAGATGATTAAGAGATGTTTTGCACCTCTGAGTCTTCATTTTAATTATTATTGCATGACTAGAAAGTTATTTTGTTCTACCTTTGAATGAGGAGCTGGGAAAAGTCATGTGTCTCAGACTGGGGAATGATTTCTGAATCTGGGATTGAAAATTCACAGCCTTGTGTTGCCACAGTTGAGTGGCAACAGGCCTGGGCGTGCTGGGGGCATTTCCCTGGGCCCTGTTCTGGCTGTGCTGCCCAGGGAGGAAGAGGAGGATGGGGCAGGACCCCAGTGCACTGGGGCAGGAGTGGTGACCCGTGGGGACTGTGAACACCCTCGTGTGAATGTTGCCCTCAGTGCGCTGGGGAAGGAATGAGGAAAGCTTGCCAGAGGTTCCTCTTGGATGTTTTTTCTTGCACAGCGCTGGGAGGGGAGGGCAATTATGTGACTGCAAAGATAATTCTCTGCTTGAAATTTGAATACTCTTTACCTTTGACAAAGACATTATTACTGAAGTTTTTACAAAATAATATTAGCCTATTTAATATGCATCGAAAAATATTTCATCCACAGCTAGTCAATGTATCCACAACCGAGCTGAAAGGCAATTAGCAGTAATAATTGTTTGCCACCTTTTTCCTACTCAGACATTTCAAGCCCTGTAAATAAGTAGTGTCTAACACTAATAACATTTATTTTTATATAACATTGAACTTGCCAACCTTTTTTACTTATCAGTTTTTAAAGAAAACAATTTAGAGCTAGTATCTTGTAAAATTTCAGCCTGGAGCAGACTTCACCAAAATTAATGAGCCATGAAATATAAGATTTATCTTGGGAAGGCTGCTAAAACCTTTTTGCAGCTGTAGCCTTTACTAGCAGGCTATGATCAGTTAAAATGAATACCTCAATTAATCTTTTCTTGGAAACTGAGAAAATAACTTACATAGTTTAATTAAAAAAAAAAAAATAAAAAATAAAAATAAAAAAAAGAAGTAAGTCAGTTTTTCTGCTGGGTTATAGTACCTTTGCGGCCCCAAAATGATGGGAACTGCTGCAGAGGCAAGGAGGGGATTGTCTGCTGGGGAAATACTGCTCTGGTCTGCTGGACCTTCCTGCCCCTGCTTCCCTCCCCCTGCCCAGGCGTGCGAGTGTCAGAGGATGTGGAACTGGGCCCAGAGGGAGCTTGGAAGATTCCTGCAGTTCTTCCAGATCCTGGTAACTTGCTCCTTCCCATGTAAACGATGCCGGAGAAAGCAAAAGGGAGAGTTGAGTTTCTCCTCCTTCCGTCCTTGGTACTTTACCACCGTGACCAGTCCAAAAAGTCATTCTGAGGTTCATCTAAATGTCATACACCAAGAAAATGCCATTCAGATTTGTAACAACCATGGAGGCTAAGGGAAAAATAAAGAGACAAAAACGCTTCTTTGGGTATGGTTAATAAATAGGTTATTAAAAATAAAACGAAAAAGCAATCAATACAGAAAGATTTCTTTCCCTTCCCCTAAGTCCCTCTAGCAAAGACAGACACTTTTTGTTAGGAAAATAGGAAAAAAGTCTGCTTCAGTTTTGCAAAAATGTTCCTACTATGGAAAGGAATATTCTCTGTGGATCCTATTGCAAACCAGAATGGTAGATATTTAACAATTAAAATTGAATAAACCATATCACCAATAGTATAAAGTGATAAAGTGCCAAAAACTAGAACTGGCTGAAGATAATTAATTACTGTACTGCTGATTTTGGCAGAGTATCTTGTTATAAATCAGAAAGCAGTCAGATCTGTCTAATCTCTGGGAAAGAAATCCAGAAGGTAAAATTTCCTTTCTAGGTTTCTCATATGTATGTATATAAATGCTTACTTACATATTCATATTTATCTTTGTATATGTAACACACACGCACATATGGATGTATATCTATGTATGTATTTATATATATATATATAGAAATAGTGCAGAAAAACTGAGATCTGGGAGAAAAGTGTGCCTCAGTTATAAGGGGCTTCAGCCTAAGCTTGGTTACTTGTATAAATTGGGAAGGCCCGCAGCCAATATGGGGGTAAGCTCTGATGGAAGAAGAAAAAAGGGAAAAGAAAAAAAAGGCAAATATCTGCTAAATGAAATAACCCAGAAGAAAAGACCAACAATAATAAAGATTGTAGGGCCTGATCAATTCTTTCTTGAATCCTGAAAATGTTATGCTGGGATGAGGGGGAACACTCATTCCAACGCAGCGTGAGCTCCCTTCTGCCCAGCACAGCCCGGGTGCTGCTGACTGAGTATTTGCTCCCTCTGCGCCATGCAGTGCTGGACTGCCCAATGGCTCCCAGGGGCGAAGCTATGAAAACTCTGCTGACCAGCTTACAGTACCACATCTCTAAAGCTGGCAGGAACTTGGGGACAGCTGCTGCTTAAGCATGAGCTCCCTAGGCTTTAGCTGGACCATCACTGCTACAGGTAGGGGATTAGCGCTGGATTTACAAGGAATCAAACACAGTGTAGCTGGTATATCCTACCCATGTAGTTTGTACCATACCTGAACACTATGCTTTAAAAACAATATCAAAACACTCTTGTATGTGTTCTACATATTTAATGTTGTCTTCTTTTTTTCCTACACTGGAACAATAACAATCTATATTGGAAAAAAAAAAATATGCAAAAATGCAATGGTAAATTCAGGAGTCTGGCTTTTGTTATCATTTTAACAGAGTCTATATATGTCTTCTTTTAGAAGAACAAACTATATCTTCTCCTATTTTAAGTTAAGGTCATCACAGAAATGCAAAACAAAACAAAGAATAAAGAAATCAAAAACCTATTTACTTTTTTGTCAGGGTGAACTAATACAGTAAAATCTGTTATAAAGTTTTACACAAATTTATTCTGTATTCACATTTTTTTTTACTTTCAGATTTCACTTTTTTTTAAGATAGGTATCTGGGAAAAACAGAAAACAAGAAGCTTTTGCTATATTCACCACGTTGGACTCTCTTCCAAATGTCATTTTCACTGATGCTGATTGGTAAGATCGTATGAGAAATGACATAGGAAGG